GCCCACCCCCAAAGTGCCCTGAGCCATGCCCACCACCAAAGTGCCCTGAGCCATACCCACCTCAGCTGTGCCAGCAGCAATGCCCACCTGTGCAACCTCCTCCACCATGCCAGCAGAAGTGCCCACCCAAGAGCAAGTAACAGCTTCAGCATTCATCAGGGACAGGGAAGAATAAGAACAACTGGCTCACCTCGCTCCCCAGCCCCTCCTTCATCTTCTCTTCAGAGCCCATCATGGATGCAGAAGAAGCTCCTCCACCCTTCAGCCTGATATGCTTGTGACGATTCCTGACAGCGAATGATTTCCTTCCTGAGTCTATTCTGGAAGGAAAGGAAGCTGAGAAAGGGCAGTTCTCCGCTGCACCAGCGTTCCGTTCCCCAGCTTCAGAAGGAAGAGCAGCAGCTGTCTTCCGGGGGCGGGGGTGAGGGAGGGGGGAGCAGAGGGTTCCCTCGATGGCTTCTGTGTCTGTGATCTGGGCAGAGGGCTCCTACCACCTGAGCAACTGTACCTATTCTTCCATTTCCTGAATAAAGCACTATTTTGTTTGTGATGGAATTATATTTTTTTTCTTCTGTTAAACTTTAAATTCACTTTCCGTTTACTATAACAGCACAGAAAAGAGATCGAAGTATGTCGTTTTGACACCTACTTTGAGAGGTGCCCTGAGAAGTAGAGAGAGAGAGAGAGAGAGAGAGAGAGAGAGAGAGATTGCTCCGCTGTTCCACCTATCTATGCAATCACTGGTTGCTTCCTGTAAGAGCCCTGACTGGAGATGAAACCCGCAACCATGTTCCAACCAACTGAATCACCCAGATAGGGTAGCTTTTTGACTTTAAATATATTTTTTAATCGTTGCCCAAGGACATATTTTTATAATTTTAGAGAGAGAGAGAGAGAGAGAACGGGGGAGAGCGAGAGAGAAACATCAATGTGAGAAACATTGGTTGATTGCCTTCTGAACATGCCCCAACTGGGAATCGAACCCTCAACCTGGGTATGTGCTCTGACCAGGAGTGGAATCTGCTCCCCTTTTGGTCTACAGGATGATGCTCCAATTAACCAAGCCACCCAGCCAGGGCCCAGCCAGGGCAGTTCTTGAGGGTTTTGATGAAGTAAACTGTGAGCCTAGATTAAAATGACTTTGCTATTTTAAGAATACAAACAACTTTATGGTCTTCCTTTCTTACTTTCCACACTACCCATTTCATGTGTGGGCAGTGCAGCTCACTTAAGAGGATAATTTCATGAGGTATATACAAGACCCTCAGAGAACAATGGATAAAGGATTCTCTCTCAGAGAGTAGTAGCCCAAACCTAATAAAGGCAAAGAGGAGAATGAATACAGAAATTCTTATACTTTGCTACTCTTTTGTATGATGCTTATTTTCTTCCATCTTCCCCCAACCCCCAGCTTGACCAATGTATAATCGACAAATAAAATTGTATATTTTAAAATAAATAAGATAATCATGTTTACTTAGCGACATGATCATCATAATCACTTTAACATATCTATAGCCTCACATAGTTACCATCTGTGCGTATGTGTTAAGAACGCATAATATTGATCATCTTAGCATATTTCAAGTACACAACACAGTATTATTAGGAATGATCACCATACTGTACGTTATACCCCCAGAGCTTATCCATCTTTTAACTGAATGTTTCTACCCTATGACCAATATCTCCATATATTTGCCACCCCTCAGCCCAGTAACATTTATTCTCCTCTCTACTTCTGAGTTCTATGACTTGACACCACCCTCCTCAATAACCAATGGGTCATGAAGAAATAATAAGGGAAATCAGAAAATTGTTTGGGAGAAAAAAAATAAAAACAGAGCCTACTAAACTCATAAGATACAAGTATAAACAATGCATGCAGAAAAATTTAAATCTGGAAACATCTATATTACAAAAGAAGAAGAATCTCAAATCAATAACCTTATAGAACTTTGAGCCAAACTATACCCCAAGTAAAGATAAAGATGGAAATAATAAAGAGTAGAGTAGAAATAATAAAGAGTAGAAAAATAAGGAATTAATAAACTAAAAGTTGGTTCTCTGAAAAGATCAATAAAACTGACAATTCTATAGCTAGACTGACCAAAAAGAGAAAAGACTCAAGTTACTGAAATTAGCAGAGAGGAGACATCATTACTGATCTTACAGAAATAAAAAGGATTGAATGAATTCAGAGGAAGATAAGGCACTCAGTCATGGTGAGATCATTTGAGGAAAGGAGCCTGGATTCCTTTATGACTGCATGGAGCAAAAACCTTCCCAAACCACGCTAGACTTGGACACAAGTAAGAAATTACTTCTACTGGACTGAGCCACAACAATTTAGGGGGTGTTTGTTATAGCAGCTAACCTGTGCTGACTAATAAATTATATGATTAAAACACAGCAGCTAACCTGTGCTGACTAATAAATTATATGATTAGAACACTTTTTTTGTTTGTTTGTTTGTTTGACTACTTTATTTTGATGCTAGGTGGCACTGTTTACTCTGATATGATAGTAGACCTTACCTACTGATAAAACAAGAAGACAGATTAGCCCTAACTGGTTTGGCTCAGTGGGTAGAGCGTCAGCCTGTAGACTGAAGGGTCCCAGGTTCAATTCTTGTCAAGGGCATATTCCTTGGTAGGGGGTGTGCAGGAGGCAGCTGATCGATGTTTCTAACTCTCTATTCCTCTCTGTAAAAAATCAATAAAATATATTTTTTTAAAAAGAAGACAGATTAATAAAACTTTTAGGATGAACCTTTCTCAAATAGTTTTTAAAGAATGTGGTCAGGTAAAAACATGATGATCAAAACCAGCACAATTGTTTGTATTATGCCAAATGTTCATGGTTTTTCACTATTTCATTTTACAACCTAAGGAAAAATATATCTCTTTTTAAAATTTCTTTATTGATTAAGTTATTACATATGTGTCCTTATCCCCACATTACCCCCCATCCTCCCCACTCATGCCCTAACACCCCTGTTGCCTGTGTCCATTGGTTAGGCCTATATGCATGCATACAAGTCCTTTGGTTGATCTCTCCCCCTTACCCTCCCCCTCCCCTACCTTCCCTCTGAGGTTTGACAGTCTGATTGATATTTCTCTGTCTCTGCATCTGTTTTTGTTCATCAGTTTATGTTGTTCATCATATTCCATAAATGAATGAGATCATGTGATACTTATCTTTCTCTGACTGGCTTATTTCACTTAGCATAATGCTCTCCAGTTCC